GCTTGAAGCGCGTCCACCATAGACTTTGTATGTAAACCTGATGCTACTGACTCTGAAATCACGTTTGGTGTGAACGCACCACAACTCTTAAAGGGGCAATATCATGTAAAATCAACTTTTTTGAGTTTTATATCATGCTATAACGTTATACTCTCGTAAAAAGCATGCCTAAAGCCTTGCTCTGACTCATTCATGCATGTTTGAGAAATCCTGCAGCGTTTTTAGGAAGCCATGCTGAGGAGCAAAACGACAGGTGGGGACCAGCAACACCTTTTGGTACCAGAAACACCCCTGGGACGTGTTCTTAAGCCGAGCTTCCTCATCACGAAGCACACCTCCCCACCCCACATAAATCCAACATTTCATTTTTAGAGTGCACACCCCGCCCATGACTCCTGCAGGCTCTCGGCAGTAATAAAGCAAAGTGAAAGTGAAACCTAACTGTCTGCTGCTCTTAACAATACTTCTCACTCAGTGAAGCTCTTTTCAGATTCAAAATACCTTTGAGGAAATGTATTTTCATATGCCAAGTAAACTGCATCATAGCGCACGAGCGACCCCCCACCCCCCACCCCCCACACTGAATGGGACAAGACAGAAGCACAAGGTGGTTCTTAAAGAGACAGGTGTTTAGAAGAGGAAGTGATGAGAAGATAAGTTTATTTTCTATTTAAACATAAAAACAGCATTTTAATAACAGCTAAAGGTGACATAAATACTTTATTGTGGTATAGYATTAAAAAGTATGCCTGAGAAACACATAATATTGCCCCTTTAAAATCAATATAAGAACCAACAAACTACATTAGATTCAAAGTTTCACAATATTTATTTCACAAAAACTTTTTGGAGCATCGTTAAGCAGACAACAAAAAGAAAAAAAAAGCAAAGCCAGAAGAGACTTGGAGCGGAGCTGAGTGTTACCTGGAGGTAAGGCACTAGAGACTGAGTGGTGGTGGGAAGACTCCTCTGTGGGGGCGGGGTCAAGGAGCAGGAAGTGGGTGTAAAGGTTAGAGGTTACAGGTTAGTCTACAAGCCAATCAACAGCAAGGAAGCACAGCAGTTAACTTGTCACAAAAAGAAAACATTATTTTTGTAGCATTCAGTGTAGACGTTTTATGGTGGTAATAAATATGATGATTAGATGAGTCACAATTAATTGAGTATTAAGCTTCTACTGATTAAATCTTGTTCTGTCATGACAGATGTCCCATCRTAGAGGGAAGTCAGTTCAACTATGTTTTTGGTGTTTTTAATAATTACAAATATTAATATTATTATCCAGCCCCCTTCATWCAGCATTTTATGATTTAGTTATGTTAAAGTCGTTTAAATCAGATTCTTCTCAGTRATCTCACACCAAGTGACCCATGATGACACAGTGAAAACAGAATTTGTAAAACTTTGTTCACTTACTGAACCTAGAAACAAATCTCACATTTCCATTGGTGGTCAGGCTTATTGCAAGAGTTTTAGTTTAGTTCAGGTTCAGCTGATCTCTGCTGGTTGGTTAGGGGTCACCTGTGGTAAATAAACTTCCTGGACCTGATTTGGGAAGACACACACCTCTCTGTAGAGCTGAAAGATGTGGAGCTWAAAGTCATGATATTTTACAGATGTTGAAGGTTTTTTATGATAAACACCAATGCATTTTATTTATATTCAGCTGATCAGTGTTTAGACCTTCATCCTTTTTAATGTCTCATGTTTATCTATTATCGTCGACTCTTACTTGATGAGAATTAATACATAAATACTTATGAGTATTACAAATTATACATTTGGAGTGGAGACAGGGTTCTCCCTGTGATTTCCTGTTGTTGTTGTTGTTGTTGTGATTATTCCTGCACTGTCTTCAGAGGTGTCTTCTATACCTAACACAGTGAGCCGGGCCGAGGCTGAGTCCTGATCTATCTCTGATGTAACGGTGCAGGTGTACGTCCCCTCGTCACCCTCGTTAATGTTTGGGATGGTCAGAGACTCTTCATCCTTCCTGAGCCTGGAACACAGACAGACAGACAGACAGACAGACAGACAGACAGACAGACAGACAGACAGACAGACAGACAGACAGACAGACAGACAGACAGACAGACAGACAG